GGCTGCCCTGAGTCAACAGAGTGGCGGACAGAGCAGAGCATCGTGACCAGGGTCACCAGCCTCAACACCAGAGCACCTCTCCACCTGCTCTCAGACATGGTTCGTAGCTTTCAGCATAGAGGCCGTTTCAGCTTTCCTGGGACAAGGTCTCATGTATCCCGGGACATCTTCCACTGAGCTGAGGAGGATCTTGAAGTTCTGTCTACACCTCCCAGGTGCTGGGATTACAGGTGTGTACCCCCATGCCTGGTTTGTGCAGTGCTCACGATGAGGATGGAACCCAGCCTGAGCTGTATGCTACCAACTGGGTCACATGCCAGCCCTCAGTGCAAGATTTTTTTTTTTTGAAGTGCCATTAATGTAAATGACACTATTCCTTTACTTTCAATTATTAAAAAAAAAAAAAAGATTTTATTTGTATTTGTGTGTGTCTATGTATGCCATGTGTGTGAGGGTGCTCGAGTCGGCTAGAAGATGGCATTGGGACCCCTGGAGCTGTAGGCATAGGCAGCTGGGAGCTACCCAATTTGGGCTCTAGGAAGAAAACTTTGGCCCTCTGCAAGAGCAACAGGCTTTCAACAACTAAGCCATCTCTCCGTTCCCTTTAACTCTAACTTCTAACTGTCCTTATCTGGCGAACGGTGCCACAGCTTCCATTCTGTCTGCAGACAGACCCTTGCTCTGTTGTCAGGGTGCCTCGAGAAGCACCTGGCTGTCGCTCATTTTGTACACTGACCTTGTATCCTGAGCTCTTGCTAGACCGAGCTACTATTTTTGGGAGTGTTGGGGGTGGGGATGGGGGTTCTACATGAAGAATCCTTTTATCGTGGAACAAAGCCAATGCTCTCTTTTCCTTTCCAGTGTTCGTGTCTTCTGTCTTTTCTTACGGCCTATCTGCCTGACTGCCTCTAACACACTGCTGAATAAAGGGTTGCACAGAGACATGCGTCCCTCCGTGCTGATCCAGTCAGAACAGCTTCGCCCTTTCATCATTAATTATGTCTGCAGTCGAATCTTAAAATACACTCGTTATCAGCTTGAGGGAAGTTCCTTTCTGTTCCTAATTTGCTTACATTTTTTATAATCATAATTGAATGTAGAACTGTATCAATTTTCTACATGAATCAAGATAATGATATCATTTTAAACCTTACTCTATTAATGCGGTGGACCGCCGAGACTCGTCTTCGAACGCCAGGCCAAAGCTGCAGTGCTGGGGAGACTCCCGCCGGGGCACGGCGCGCTGGCACTTGGATCTTGCTGGATCTGATTTGCGAGCAGTTTAAGAATTTCTGCACTTGAAGCTAATCTATGTTGTTTTCTAATTTACTCTTCTTGCTTTGTTTGTCAGCCCTGGGTAGCAGATTAGCCCTCTTCATGAAATGATGGGGTAATGCCCCGTCAGTATTAAGAAAGAATGGGTGGAAGACTGCTGCTTCTCCTCCCTGGAATATGCCAGTGAAACTACGTGGGACTAAGGCATTGTTTCTAAGATGTCTGGAGCCATATACTCGGGTATATTTGTTTGTGTATGTATGCATTTCCCTAATACATATATGCCCTTAACATATATAAATATATATACATATATGCATATATAACATACACCTTTGACATGGAAACATACACACACATGCACACATATCTCTCACTTATCTATGACCTTTAACAAAGGCAAAGGTCATCTCAGGTCACTTACCAGCTTACCCATTCCAACTAAGGAGCCAAACCCATTGAGAACATCATTTTCTCTTATAATCCTTTGATATTTCTATAGGATCTGTAGCTATGCCCTGTCCATCTTTCTTTTCCCCTGTGGTGCTGGGGATTGAACCTGGGCTCCAGCAGGCTGAGCAAGTGCTCTACCCTGAGCTACAGCCCTGCCCTGAGCTACAGCCCCGCCCACTGTCTTCCTTTTAATCAGCCACTGTTAGAAACATTTTCTCACTTAACTTTTGGTTTCTTCTTCGTCTCACAGATTATCTAGAAGTAAGGGGCCAAATATTTAGGGCTTTTCTGAGAATTTTATCATCACATCCTAACTTAATCCCATTGTCGGTGGAGGACATAGACTTCACATCTTAAGTTTTTAAAGTTGAGTGCTGAGTTTATATTTGCGTGTGTGAGGCTGTCCATGCTCTTCTGTTTTCACAAGGAGACCAGAGACTGATGTGCGACATCTTTCTAGATCGTTCCTCACTTGATTTTTTGAGCCAGGACATTTTGCTGAACTTGGAGTTTGCCAATTCACTAGTCTACTGAGGCAGCTTGTCCTGGGAAATCCTGTCTCTGCTTCCCTAGCACTGGGACTGTAAGGACAAGCCACACATAGCTTTTTATGGACTGGACATCCAAGTCCAGTCCTCAGGCTTCCACTGCATATGCTATTCACCCCAGCCCCACTATTTGGTTTCACTCATTTGATTTTTGTCCTTCCTTTCCTTCTTTTGTATTAAATATAGTTTTAGTATTCTATATTAATTTTCCAATTTGACCTTCCCACCCTCTCTCCCTTTCTTTCTTCTTTCTCTCTTTCTCTTCTTTTTCTTTCTCTTTCCTTCCTTCCTTTCTTTTCTTTCTCTTCCTTCCTTCCTTCCTTTTCTTTCTCTCTCTCTCTTTCTTTTTCTTTCTCTCTTTCTCTTTCACAAAAAGGTCTGTCTTCGAGATGCCAACCAGAACCCGAGGCAGTCACTGTGTTCTAGATTCTGCATGGATTTTCTGCCTGTAAGGACGTTGCTGTTTCTAGTGCTGTCCTTCCTGGAGCGTAGCTCTGAGTGGCAGTCTGTCAGGTCCCCAGGGCCCAGTTGAATGACAGGCGCATCTTCCTGGAATGCTGTCTGTCTCCAGGCATCTGATGGTTATCAGAGGCTCTGCTTAGCTTGTTGCTGGTCTCTAAGAAGCCCCTCCCACCTGCTTTAGTTTCTCTCTATCTAGACACGGCTTTGCAGCGTGCACTTTTAGAGACAAAAGCGTGCACTTCTCTGCAGTTTCCCTATTCTCTCATTGGCCCTGAGCCACTTTGGGCTCTGAGATGCTTTGGAACCCCAAACTCATACTCTGTCTCCAAAACTCTGTGAGACTGGGAGCCCGCTTCTGACCCAAGGAGAAGAGTGACTGAGGTCAAATGGACTCATCAAAATACTGCTCACCCTGGGATCCAGACCCACCATGCTTCTCCCTTGGAGGTCTTCTGATAAGTCAAACAAGCTTTTAGTATTTTCTCAGCTTTTACGTTGGAGGGGTATCAGAACATGGTCCAAGCATGGAGTCATGTGAGGATAATTCTGAGTGCTTGTACGAAAACTCCAAGAAAAATAAGACAAGAGTCTTATGACCTCAGTTTCTTCAAAACACGGGTTCTTGGAATGCTGATTTTGTGCTCCTCCCAGATGTAGCAGATCGGAGTGAGTTTATTTCAGATTACTTATGATTGCTCGTTGTTGTTATTCAATTAAATGTCTCTATGAAAAACATGATTTTGCCACCTGTGGCTTGTCTTTGTGATTGTACGCTTTACTCGTGTGATTCTTTTTAACCCGTACAATACAGACTGCCTGATGCTCTGAGTAAAGTTAGCTATTGCCAGAGACTTTAGTCTGACTCATTTATTGGTTCCATTCTCCCAGGTCCCAAAGCCTCTAGATGGATAAAAAGAGGTGGGGTTAGGTGGTCTGGTCAACTGCTTTATAACCATAGCAGCTTCTCAGAGGACAGCCATGCCAGAGGCCACCACAGCACAGGGTTAGTTGGGGCTTCCTCAACAAGCAGTCTCGGCAGGAAAGTTAATTTGATGACAAAACAAATTTTAAAAATTATATTTTATTAATTTATCATCCATCCATCCATCCATCCATCCATCCATCCATCCATCCATCCATCGTGTGAATGCACAGTTGTGCCATGATGTGCACTAAAGTCAAAAGGAAACATGCAGGAGAAGGTGCTCTCCTTCCACTGTGTGGGCTCCTGGGGACTGAACTCAGGCAGAGCCATCTTGTCAACCGTAAGCATTAGTTTTACTACCTTTAGGTGATTCAATACCAAAATGTTTTAAATAGACTAATCTTTGAAATCTCTTTTTCAAAGAGAATCTTTTATTATTCACTGCACTTGCAACCAAGGTCAGTTCATTTAACCCCTACATGCTACTTCCACTGTCTTTATCTATATGTATTTGTATGTGTATTTTAGTTTATATGCACTTTTGATCTGTGTTTGAAGCCGTTGAAAAGATTTATGTTGAAATCTTTGAATTTATGTGAGTTGGTAAGCATCATCATACAGAAACACCAACAAAGCCAACACTTAGCTTTTGAAAAATTCATACGCAAACAAACTATTCTTTTACTAATTAACTCTGAAAAGGAAAGCATAATTGCATAATGCAAGATTTAATGTCTGGCAGTCAACAGCTGGGCTTGAGCCTCTATCACAGGATCTAAATAATCCTGCAGTCTATTTCATTCTGTTTTGTTTTACATAGGGGTTTATTATACAGCCCTGCTTGCCTTAAACTCATTTCTTTTCCTTTGCTCCAGAGTGCTGGGATAACAGGTATGTCCTGCTATGACCAGCCTCATGATGTTTTATAAAAACAGAGAAAGGACATGGTCCCTTGCCCCATTTGGTACAAGTAGGCTAGAGCCTTAAGGAATGCACACACAGCTGTGTACATATGTGCTTATACACATTTAGAAAACCACTTCTTCTGCACACATTCCCTTCATGTGTTACCTACGTGTCTAAATGGAAGCCTCAGTGAATGCCAGTAACATCTAATTTGGTTTCCAACAGAAATTATTCAGAATTAATGGTAATGTATTCGATCAAGTACTTGCTTGAATTATCTGCAACTCATTTGATAAAAGGGACAGACGAGCATGCAAGAAGTCCTTCAGTGGTGTGTGTGCCTTAACAGATGTGACAGAGAGTGGGAGGAGGCTAGAAAAGCTTAGAAGGCAGACAGGTCACAAAATGCCTCTCAGGGCATTTTCATTGGCTTGTTTGGGGGTTGCACTCACCCCGCACGGGTCGAGGCTTGAGGCTGACATCTTCTATCAGGCAGATGCTGGGCCGTGCAGGTATCTGGAGGTCCTTACTGCTCTCTTTCACTGGGCTAATGGTTTTGAAGGCAGGTGAGACGTAGAGGGTCTCCACAGAGGACTGGTTGTGGGACATGGACTTGGACATCCTCAAACCCAGGCTGATGAACTCATCTTTACCTGAGGGCCAAAATGCTTGCAAAGGCGTCAGTGTTTCAAAGCTTTTTGCGGCCAGCTGCTTCTCCTGTGGAGCTGGTGAGGGACTTTCTGTGATAGTATTTGCAATGGTTTTCTCCAGTGTCTTGCCTAAACTCACATTTGTCTGCATCGATGGGCTTTTTTCTGAGGGAGTAGACACAGGCTCTGTAAAATAGCAAGTAGCCCCAAATTAAAACCGAAACATTCCATTTAAAATCCATTTTAATAAACAGGATCTTTCCTATTTAGTCCTCTGCTTTCCTACTAGGCTGGTATGTTCTATTTCAAGTACCCTCGAGCTATAACTGATGTCTTAGTCATTTGGTGGCTGCCTTCTCCCTCTCTCAGAGGCACAGAAAATTTCACCTAACTTCCCTGTAAGTATTTCTTGCTTCACCCACCGATCTGTCTCTCAGCCACTATATTTTTAGAACCTTCAAGCCTTCATCCTTTACAAGATAAACTAGACAGAATATACATCATTCTATCCTATGAAACCCTCGTCTCTCCTGGAATGAAGGCTGTCTCCTCCCAGGAGGCACATGCAGAATGCTTCAGGAGGCACCATCATTTCAATGGATCTTTTGTCTATGTGGAGGACAACATGTTCTCTTACAGAGCTGATCTGATGGCTACTACGATGCAAACTTTCTGTCCATCCTGTCACTAAATAGTCACTAAGACAGCAAAGCACCACGAGAGCCTGGGACAGACCAGGGATCATGCACAGAAGGGGCTAAAGCAGTGTAAGAAGCCGAAACTGCGGATGAACCTGGGTAGGGACCATTGCCTGAACCCACATATCTAAGGCCTAGACTAAACTTCTAGGTGGGGCCATACCCTAACCCTCAGTGTGAGGGTTGTTCTCAGAGAGTTTCATCCTAACTTGAATATGGAAGGGAAGAAAACTGCTTCTTAAGAGACTGGGTTCATGAAATGAGAATCATAACACAGTGTGCGTGCACATTCTCTGGCCCTTACACCAGGGGGGGAGACGCGGAGACTGTTAGGTGAGTCTACACATCACAAAGTACACTGCTCTCAGAGCTTCCAGATGCTGCAGATAAGCTTCTGGTGTTTACCCAGAATTAGAAAGTTCAAGAAACTTATATTAGTTGCTTCATTGTCATGGTGCAGCTAGTCATGTTTTGTGTGTGGTCACTCAGCAAAGATGCCTGAGGAAACTGAGACCAAACAGAGCCAAAGTTAAATGCTGGTGGCTACTGTTCGCTTTCACTCCCCTAAAGAAATTTGTTTGCTCCATCTGCAAAGGATGTGCTTGATCCATGTGGGCTGGAGGTACGTGGGCAGGAAATCTGTCAGGATGCAGACTTCCCCCTGATTGGATGTAGGTGGGAGGTAGACAGGCAGGATGTATACTTGCCTCTGGTTGGATCTGATGGGAAATACGGTGACCCATGGTTTTGCCTTTTTAAGACCCTGCAAACAAGACTTGTGGCCATTTCCTGGGAACCCAAGTATGGGCCTGGCCAGAGTCCACTCTCTTAGCCAGCATTTAATTAAAGCTTGCTTCAAATTTGGCAAGGAATTGTAGTAGTGGCCTTATTCTGAACCAGTGGAATTAACAAAACCCAGATCCAAGACCAATTAATGGAGGAGGAAAAGGCTAAAGCTTTTCCCTTTAAGGAAAAAGTTTTCTGGTTAATGTCCTTGATCGTCAATACTTCTATTTGCAAAAAGAGATCTTTCTGAGGGAGCTTATTTTAAACTCATCAGATGCTCTGGGTGAGATCAGGGGTGAGAGTTTGACAGTTCCTAATAAACTACTCTGGGAAGGAGCTGCACATTCATCTCATTCCCAGTGAACAAGATCAAAGCCTTTCTGCTGTGACTACTGGGATTGGAATGCCTGAGGCTAACTTAATCAACAACCCTGGCACTTTCGCCAGGTCTAGCACCACAGCCTTCATGGAGGCTTTGCAGGCTGGTGCAGGTATTGCCATGACTGGCCAGTTTGGTGTTGCCTTTTCCTCTGTGTGTTTTGTCGCTGAGAAAGTGACTATGATGACCAAGCATGATAATGGGGATGCTCAGCAGGAGCATGTTTCACAGTGAAGACTGACACAGTGAACCAGTGGGCCGTTGGAGAAAGGTTATCTTACATCTGACAGAAGAGCAAGCTGAGTATGTGGAGGAAAGCAGAATAAAGGAGCCTGTGAGGGGCATTCCCAGTCTATTGGCTACCCCATTGTTCTCCTTGTGGCAAAGGAACAATATAAGGAAGTCGGCGGTGAGGAGGCCGATGAAAAAGGAGATAAGGGTGCTTATAGCTCAGTTGTTGAAGTTCTTGCCTAGCACCTGTGAGGTACTGAGTTCAATCCCCAGCACTATGTGACCGAGTGTGGTGCACCCTTGGCTACACATTAAGTTCAAGGACAGCCCATGCTATATGAGAATCTGTTTCACAAAACAAAAATGTTGAATTTGGGGGCTGCAGAGATGGCTCAGCGGTTAAAAGCACTAGCTGCTCTTCCAGAAGACCCAGGTTCAATTCCCAATACCTACCTGGCAGCTCACAACTGTTTGTAGCTCCAATTTCAGGACCTGGCCCCTTCAGCGACATACATGCAGGCAGTATGTCGAAGAAAAGAAAAGAAAACACCAGTGCACATAAAAAAATGATAAACCTTTTTTAAAAGGAGATAAAAAGAAGATGTTGGTTCTGATGAAAAAGAAGAAACAGACAGTGAAGAGAAGAAGATTAGGTAAAGTATATCAATCAAGAACCAAGTAAAAGAAAGCCTATTTGGACCAGAAATCCTGTTGACGCTGCTAATGGAGAATATGAAGAGTTCCACAGGAGCTTGGCCAGTGAGCGGGAGGGACACTTCATGGCAAAGCTGTTGTTGTTGTTGAAGGACAATTGGAATTCTGCACCTTTGCCCCAGCACACACTCCTTTTGATCTGTTTGAAAGCGGGAAGAGAAAGACCATCAAGTTGCACGTATACAGAGCTTTCATCATGGGTAACTGTGAGGAGTTAATCCCCCGAGTATCTGAAGGGTGGTAGATTCTGAGGCTTCCCTATAAAGATTTCCCACACGAAATGTTGCAACCGAACAAAGATTTGAAAGTTACCAGAAAGAATTTGGTCAAGAAATGCTTAGAGCTACTCACTGAACTGGCAGAAGGGAAAGTGAACTTAAAAAAAAACAAAACAAAAACAAAAAACAGTTTTATGAGCAGTTCTCAAAAATAAAAAGCTTGGAATTCATGAAGAAGAAGCTTCCCGAGCTGCTGTGACGCCGGCCATCTGCTCCTGGGGAAGAGGTGGTTTCTCTCAAGGGCTACCGCAGCAGAATGAAGGACGACCAGAAGCACAGCTGAGACAAGGAGAGAATCATTAACTTGGCCTTCGTGGCCCATCTTCGACAGCATAGCTTACGAGGGATCTAGCTGACTGAGCTCCCTGATGAGTACAGTGGGCCACAGCTGAAGGAACCTGAGCACAAGACCTTCGTGTCAGTTGCCAAGGAAGGATTGGAACCTTCAGAAGGTGAAGAGGAAAAGAAAAGAAAAATCCAGGTTTGAAAACCTCTACAAAATTATGAAAGACACCATGGAGAGGAAAGTTGAAAATGTCAAAGCTACTGGTGGCATCTCCGTGTCCCTCATGGTGCATATGGATGAACAGCAAACATGGAGAGAATCAAGAAAGCTCAAGCCTCTTTCTTGCTTAGCTTCTTTAATATGATTATCCTATATTATATGTCTAATATCCACTTTTAAGTGAGTATATACCATGTGTGTCTTTCTGCTTCTGGGATAACTCACTCAAGATGATCTTTTCTTTTTTTTTTAATTATTTATTTATTATGTATACAATATCTGCATATATGCTTTCACATCAGAAGAGGCACCAGATCTCATTATAGATGGTTGTTGAGCTACCATGTGGTTGCTGGGAACTGAACTCAGGACCTCTGGAAGAGCAGACAGTGCTCTCAACCTCTGAGCCATCTCTCCAGTCCTAAGATGATCTTTTCTAGATCCCACCATTTGCCTGCAAATTTCATAATTCCCTTGTTTCTAATTTCTCAGTATTATTACATTGTGTAAATGTACCACAATTTCTGTATCCATTCCTCAACTGAGGGACATGAATAAAGCTGCTATGAACATGGTTGAACAAATGTCCTTGTTGTATGGTTGAACATCTTTTGGGTATATGCCTGGGAGTGGTATAGCTGGATTTTGAGGAAGCGCTATTCCTAGTTGTCTGAGAAAGCGCCAGATTGATTTCCAAAGCAGTTGTACAAGTTTAAGAAGCTAAGCAAGGAGGACGACCCTGAGTAAGATGCTTAATCCTCACTCAGAAAGGCAAATGAGATAGACATCGGAAGATGGAGAAAACAGGGAACAGGTCGAAAGTCTACCACAGAGGGCCTCTGAAAGACTCTACCCATCAGGGTATTAAAGCAGATGCTGAGACTCAGAGCCACACTTTGGGCAGAGTGCAGGGAATCTTATGAAAGAAGAGGGAGATAGAAAGACCTGGAGGGGACTGGAGGTCCACAAGGACAGCAACAGAACCAAAAAATCTGGGCACATGTTCAAAGCTTACTTCATTCCTTCTGATAATACATTTTCCAAGATTTTTGTTGTTGTTGTTGTTGTTAATGTTTAGAGCATCTGTATGGCATGAAAACTAAGGGGCAGATAAAATTTCTTCCTGCTTCTTGGCCTGTGAGACGCAGGCTTATTTCAAAAGGCTGGTAGGATATTTGCTGTACGGTGTGAGGTAACCTGTTGCTAACCTCGTGATCTGAGCTATTTAAGCTGTCGAGCTGATTCCTTAGAGGACCAAATCACCTGTCACTGAAGTCTTCTGAGATATAGCTTCATGTTTAAAAGAGAAAAAATTGTTAAGATGCCTTGACTGTCAACTTCTAGAATCCACTTTTTAAAGTTTTTCATTTCCTGTAGTTAATTCTGCATGGAGTAGTCTTGGAAGTAAGAACACACACTGAGACAACTTGACAGGAATTCACCACGTGGCTTGTTTTCCAAAGTAAAAAAAACAAGAACAAATCCCTAAGCTTCCCTAGGTCTTGTATCTCAGCAAGGCTCATGAATGGAAATAAACATAGTACCAAATCACATTCTGCTTTAAGGTAAATACAGATTACACACACACACACACA